GGATAGCAACAGAGCCGGAGGAGGGGGGAAGGGATGGAAGCAGAAAAAAAAAGTACGTCATGTCGGCTCGGACGCGTTTTTCGAATCGGGACGCGAGTCTCGTTCCTCGCGGACGGACACAGAAAAAGAAAAGATCCGGCCCCAGGTACGAGCTCCTCTCGTCGTTGGAGTCGTCGTGGCTGGAGAGGATACCGCGCGAGCCAGTCGCATCGAAGGTCCGAGTGGCAAGATCGAGAAAAAAGGAAAAAGTCGAACCTCTCGTGTGTCTGCAGTTACGTACACGGTTGGGCTTGGGGGGGGGGGGGGGGGGGGGATGGATGAGGGGATGGAAACGAAAAGAAAAAAAAGAATTACGTCATGTCCGCGCGGCGTGGAGGAAGCCGAGACGTTCGATTTCAGCACGCAATCGAAGCAGCTTCGACGTGAGTCTCGTACCTCGCGGACGGACACAGAATGAAAAAAAGATCCGGCCGTAGGTACGAGCTCGTCTCGTCCGAGGTCCGAGTGGGCAGATCGAGTCGAATCAAAAAGTCGAACCTCTCCCGTGTCTGCGGATAGGAACAGAGCCGCGCGGCCGAGGGGAAGAGATTTAAAAAAAAAAAAATAATATGACGCGTCAGTCCGAGTCTCCTTCGAAAAAAACTCTCTCTCGCTCTTTCTCGCACCCCCCCCCCCCGTGTCTCCATCCTTTTTCCGAACCTTCTCGACGCTGCTTAACCTGACTCTGTCTAGGATATAGGAACGTTCCCATGATATGATTGTACCTGGTTTAGTACTGATTGCTTTATCCGGTGGACCGGTAAATCCTCTCATCACGCACCTACTTTCGTGATGATGACGCCGTGCGTCATCATGATATATTGGCGAACATGTTGTTCGCCTCCACGAATCTTTATGGGTTCCCCTCATGGTTTCGTTTCCTACGTCATCTGTTCCTCGATTTTTTGTTGAAACGGTAGGAATAACGATGACGGGTCCACGTCGTACCATTCGCGATTATTACAATTTTTTCCCAATTATTCGTCGTGAGTTCACCGCATTTTAGCGCGTGTGTGCACAGAAGTTATTGTACTGAAGGATTTCTCACCTGGATTCCACGATCCTCGTTGGGGGCGAGAGCCACGTCGCTGTGAGGAACATCGACAGGAATCCAACGGTACCAATTGCTCCCATCTGCACCTTCGCAAAACCGACTCACCGAGTCGGAAAGATGCCCGGCGTCATTGAAGAAGATCCGTCTCTCTGAAGGGGGGAAAGAACAGAAAAACATGGAGGGGCGGCGTGGACCAAGCGCGACAGTTTGCATGGATGGAAGGAAAATTTCCTTCGTGTCGCGCCCCTGCAAGTCCGGCAACACGCACGCTCCTCAGCGTGCACCGTTGCGAGTAGGCCGGTCTGATTGGACAGAAAACGAATTTTGGAATTAAGAAAAATGGAACCGTATCGCACGAAGGGAACCTCCCTTCTTCGAGAGGATAGCAACAGAGCCGGAGGAGGGGGGAAGGGATGGAAGCAGAAAAAAAAAGTACGTCATGTCGGCTCGGACGCGTTTTTCGAATCGGGACGCGAGTCTCGTTCCTCGCGGACGGACACAGAAAAATTTCCATCCTCATTCTTCCTGGTTCCCACTGAATTGTGGATTGATGCAAGAGAAAAAAGAAAAACATTCACCTTAGTTCCATCCCTTATTCTTACTACTGACACTTTTCTTGGTTACAACCATTTCATCTTGGAAGGGGCTGTTTCTTATTTTGATTCATTTTCGGCGCCATCTAGCGAAGAATTCAGGAACTAAGCACATTCTCTCTGATCTGTGATTCTCCCCTTTGCCTGCCGAGCGAGCTGCAAAATAAGTGTCTGTATCGCCATGCACGGTTCGCGGTTTTTCTTTCCTTTACTTCTCTTCTAAAAGTCTATATTCCTCCAGGCTTTTACGAGTCGCGTCCTGCAGAGGATCCCGTTCTCCTGGCAACACTGTTTGTGCTGCGAAATTTATACACCGTGTGACGCGGATGGGACAGACTTACGCATTCCCTTTCCTGTTGCACCCTTGTCTTCTACGTCTCTGCCAGGTCGGCTGTCTCAAGATATATACATGCAGAGCATCCGGTAGTCGCGCCACGGCTCCAATAGGCCTGCCTTTCTGTTCTCTCCCTTGAGAGGGGAAAAACTCCAAACATAGGCCTATCGCCTTTCCCGATCCGGGACCTTTCATTTTAAAAATTCCATGAAATACGGAAGTGCCAACATGAATCTTCCTGATGTCGTTGCTCTTTCCATGCTCCATCCATTTCATCGGAGCGTAAGATGCAGCCATCCAAAAATGTGACATTCCCTTCAATTTAGCTCCGTCTGAGTTTCCCCTCGATCGCAGCTTTTATCATCTTGAATCGAACATTATGGAATTTGGCTACATTAGAAAATGGACAATGATGTTGCTCCCCAGAGGTATTTGTAAGTGTAGAGTTTTCAGTTATCAGAGACAATATGTTGACACATCAAAAGTATTTGTAAAATAGAAAAGTACTTAAAAAAAAGAAGCATTATGAGCTTTCCAGAATGTAGAGTCCATACTGAATATCTCTTTCTATTCTGGAGAATTTTGACATTAAGATGATTAATAAAGTTTAATCTATTTATTCATTTATGGGTGCATTGTCTTTCATTTTTGTCATTGTTTTTACCTTCATCATTGTTATTTAGCTGCAAATATGTCGGAATCTATTCTAATATTGCTCTCCAGACAAAGGAGGCTCTCATGTAAGGGCAGTAGGTTTGTGTCATCTGAAAGGCAGTGTCTATTGGCCGAGCAGCTTTCGGAAGTGGAAAAGTATTTCTAAGGTTAGGCCTAAGTCCTAAAAGAGGTGCATTCCAGTTAGCTTTCTTTATGTTAGTGCCATGTGCATCTTTTTCAGCAAGTTCAAAAGAAAAGTAACTATTAAGATGCAGGGTTCCACAAAATCTATATAATTAAGGTGGAGGGCCTTAGTTGTGTGAAGAGAAAAGAGCCCTTAATGGGTGATTTCAAAAGTTGATTTCAATATACCTATGTTCTAGCAATTGACATCTTAAATTAGTTAGGTTGCATGTCATCTTTCCTAGCCAAACATGATATAATACCCTTTAAACAACTGTGATATACAGCAATGATGAAGAGCTGTCTAGTTTTGTGCAGACTGGGTGGAAAAGATTGCTCAATGTCTTCCCTCAAGGCAAACAAAGCAGCTTCCTCTACCTTGCAAGATGTGCTTTTGTTTAGTGGGCTGCAGGAAACGGTATCATGTTGGTTAGAGGTCGTTATTCCTGGTTGATGGACACTGGCTGTTCGGCGTTAACACTGAAGAAGTTGTGTGATGCAGGACTGTGGGCTTAGGTCTTTTATGAATATTCTGGTATATATGTATCGAGAAATTTTGTCTGCATTTATGAGTGTCTAGTCTGACCCNGGCGGGAGGGGGGATGGATGAGGGGATGGAAACGAAAAGAAAAAAAAGAATTACGTCATGTTGGATTTTTTTTTTTTTTAAGTCCGAAGTGGACCTCTTCACGGAGGCGAAGTTGCAAATCTCACACACGCGCACTCACACACACATACACACACACTCCTCTCTTTCTTTTTTTCTTCCCTGACTCGATTCCCCCCGTCTTGTGGCACGCCAATGCCGCGCGCCAGACTGTCTAGACACTCTTTGGCCTTCCCGGCACCCTTGTTACTTTTTTTAATTTTTATTCTTGTTCTGCTTTCCTCTTTTGCTCTCTCCCTTTGCAGTTCCCTCATTTTGTTTTATTCAACCAGGAACCCTTTGAATTCCATTTCGAGTGCCTCCCCATCCTTTCTCTTCCCTATTCCATCCTCATTCTTCCTGGTTCCCACTGAATTGTGGATTGATGCAAGAGAAAAAAGAAAAACATTCACCTTAGTTCCATCCCTTATTCTTACTACTGACACTTTTCCTGGTTACAACCATTTCATTTTGGAAGGGGTTGTTTCTTATTTTGATTCATTTTCGGCGCCATCTAGCGACGAATTCAGGAACTAAGCACATTCACTCCGATCTGTGATTCTCCCCTTTGCCTGCCGAGCCAGCTGCAAAATAAGTGTCTGTATCGGATCGATCGCCATGCACGGTTCGCGGTTTTTCTTTCCTTTACTTCTCTTCTAAAAGTCTATATTCCTCCAGGCTTTTACGAGTCGCGTCCTGCAGAGGATCCCGTTCTCCTGGCAACACTGTTTGAGCTGCGAAATTTATACACCATGTGACGCGGATGGGACAGACTTATGCATTCCCTTTCCTGTTGCACCCTTGTCTTCTAAGTCTCTGCCAGGTCGGCTGTCTCAAGATATATACATGCAGAGCATCGGGTAGTCGCGCCACGGCTCCAATAGGCCTGCCTTTCTGTTCTCTCCCTTGAGAGGGGAAAAACTCCAAACATAGGCCTATCGCCTTTCCCGATCCGGGACCTTTCATTTTAAAAATTCCATGAAATACGGAAGTGCCAACATGAATCTTCCTGATGTCGTTGCTCTTTCCATGCTCCATCCATTTCATCGGAGCGTAAGATGCAGCCATCCAAAAATGTGACATTCCCTTCAATTTAGCTCCGTCTGAGTTTCCCCTCGATCGCAGCTTTTATCATCTTGAATCGAACATTATGGAATTTGGCTACATTAGAAAATGGACAATGATGTTGCTCCCCAGAGGTATTTGTAAGTGTAGTGTTTTCAGTTATCAGAGACAATATGTTGACACATCAAAAGTATTTGTAAAATAGAAAAGTACTTAAAAAAAAGAAGCATTATGAGCTTTCCAGAATGTAGAGTCCATACTGAATATCTCTTTCTATTCTGGAGAATTTTGACATTAAGATGATTAATAAAGTTTAATCTATTTATTCATTTATGGGTGCATTGTCTTTCATTTTTGTCATTGTTTTTACCTTCATCATTGTTATTTAGCTGCAAATATGTCGGAATCTATTCTAATATTGCTCTCCAGACAAAGGAGGCTCTCATGTAAGGGCAGTAGGTTTGTGTCATCTGAAAGGCAGTGTCTATTGGCCGAGCAGCTTTCGGAAGTGGAAAAGTATTTCTAAGGTTAGGCCTAAGTCCTAAAAGAGGTGCATTCCAGTTAGCTTTCTTTATGTTAGTGCCATGTGCATCTTTTTCAGCAAGTTCAAAAGAAAAGTAACTATTAAGATGCAGGGTTCCACAAAATCTATATAATTAAGGTGGAGGGCCTTAGTTGTGTGAAGAGAAAAGAGCCCTTAATGGGTGATTTCAAAAGTTGATTTCAATATACCTATGTTCTAGCAATTGACATCTTAAATTAGTTAGGTTGCATGTCATCTTTCCTAGCCAAACATGATATAATACCCTTTAAACAACTGTGATATACAGCAATGATGAAGAGCTGTCTAGTTTTGTGCAGACTGGGTGGAAAAGATTGCTCAATGTCTTCCCTCAAGGCAAACAAAGCAGCTTCCTCTACCTTGCAAGATGTGCTTTTGTTTAGTGGGCTGCAGGAAACGGTATCATGTTGGTTAGAGGTCGTTATTCCTGGTTGATGGACACTGGCTGTTCGGCGTTAACACTGAAGAAGTTGTGTGATGCAGGACTGTGGGCTTAGGTCTTTTATGAATATTCTGGTATATATGTATAGAGAAATTTTGTCTGCATTTATGAGTGTCTAGTCTGACCCCCACCACCACTGGCTAGGGTGATGGTTTGAAGGTGAGGCCTTTGCGATGAGGTCAAGTGTCGCCTGATCTGTGTTTCGGTGTTGTTCTTTCGCTGAGCGGAGCGTGCCATCCTCCGTTGATACGACCCTTTGGTTTTGCAGGGGGAGAAGCTCAGTGGCCTGAAGAGGATGGGTTGGCACGACCCTGTTGCAGAACGGAGCTGAGGGCACCGTGGTTTTTCTTCTGTGAAGTGCAAGCGGCTACATGACCTTTTTTTCTCTTCTGTTTGTCCCCTTTCCTTTCTAATTCATTTTCAATTATTCTCTTTACATGAGTGGCTTCAAGGCCATAAAGAGGGCAACTGGAGGCAACGCTCGGCTGGAATTTGCCCACTGGATTGCGGTCTTCGTGTCGTTGCGTATCGTCCACCCGGGGGCTATGTCTCGACGACTTGTGTGCCTTTTGGAGGAGCCAAACCACGTGGTATGTGTGTACATGTTTTTATATCTGCATGTCATTCTGTTCAATATGGGCCTATGGTTAGGTTTGACCTAGCCAACATGGGGGACCCTTGGCAAAACTCTGTGTGCAGGCGAGCACTGAGCTGAGGGTTGAGGGCCTGCCCTGCTCAGGCACGAGTGGTTGGGCAGGGAACGTGGCAGCTTTCGCGCAAGTAAATGTCATTTTTATGGTGGTGCTTGCTCCTGCAAAACTTTTTCCCTCTGAAACCAACCCACTTAAGCTGACTCCTATTTTCCAAAAATTTGTTGAATTGGATTGTCCACCTGAGTTGGGTGCTTAGCCATGAAAAGCTAGTGGATTGCTCATATACTTAGCATAGGTGACTGAGATGAGACTGATGCTGATGAGCATGACCTCCAGCTCTAGATGTGTACAGGGTGGACCAGAAGTAAGGAATCATGTTTAAACAAAACTTTCATGGAAAATCAAACGAACTAAACCGTGATACACACAGAAACACATGTTTATGAAGTATTCAAAGCCATGAATATTTTCCTGAAAATTGTTGCATGTGTCCACTATTGATTTTTTTTTTTTTTTTTTTTTTTTTTTTTACAAGTACAGTCTTACAGTGCACAAGATGAACCCTGGGACTCTTCTGCACTCAGGGATCCTATTGTTCTCACAATGTGGAGATTGCCATTGGAATCATGCCAACGAGTTTGCTTATTACTACCTGTAAGACTGTCCTTGTAAAAAAAAAAAAGAGTAATACTTCAATAGTTGACACATGCCACAATTTTCAGGAAAATATTCATGGCTTTGAATACTTCATGAACATGTGCTTTTCTGTGTGCCATGGTTTAGTTCGATTGCTTTTCCATGAAAGGTTTTGTGAGAGTTCAAATGTGTTTCCTTACTTCTGGCCCACCCTATATATGAAGGAACTCCTTAGTTGCATACACTTTGCTGGGACAAGACCATGGATTGCACTGTTCAGAGGTGGTTGAAAGCACTCTCAACAAGTGCGTACCACTCGATCTTTGATGCACATTTTCGATGTGAAAGTGCACGAGGATGAAAGACGTGCATTTTTGCTGGGACAAGGCCATGGATTGCACTGTTCAGAGGTGGTTGAAAGCACTCTCAACAAGTGCGTACCACTCGATCTTTGATGCACATTTTCGATGTGAAAGTGCACGAGGATGAAAGACGTGCATGGGCGACACGCTAGATGCTTCTGTTTGGTTTGCACTCGACATCAGGCCCGTGACCGTAACCCATTCTGCAAATATCCATCCATTCCTCCAAGGGATCATTTGTGAAAGTCTTTGTGTGTGAGTGGGTCTGGTTTCTCTCTGCTCTGCTTCTGATTCTTGATCCCTAAAATTCCTAAGAAGTATATATTTTTTGGTAATAATATATTTCATGCATGAAAAATTTTCACTTTTCTAATCTCCAAATTCTGAAATTAAGTTAATGGTTTATTCTGGCACAAATGCTACTGTTCCCTTGAAGTCTCAAATTATGTGTACAAAGTGTATGACAGAAAAATCATGGGCTTTTTCCAAATTGAGGATAAAAGTCTTTCATTCTGGATTGCTAGTTTCCAATGCAAAACACATATCCATGATGGTAACACACATGATTTATGACCATTAAATTAAAGCTAAACTCCCATATGAATGTAAACCTAGTAGTCACTTCTTTTTGAATTATAGAGGAAGTTCTTTGTTTCCCTAGCTTCAGCTCATTATGTCTTTTGTTCCTTGGAGCTTGCTTTTTTTTCTTGATATTCTCTGTTGCTTCGGTATCTTCTCGTTCTTGGGCTCTTGTGATACGTGTTGGTTGGGTGAGAATGGGTTGGCCTTATTGAGATAACCTTGAATACATGTTTTGTCATGGATGGCACTTGTGGTCATGTGCATGCTATCTCTGGGTCATTCCATGTCCACTCACCAAATGGAGTACTCTCTTAGATTCTGATGAAATTTCGCATGTGCTCTCTTGAATGGAGTAATCCTTCAAGAGGGAATTGCAATGTGGTGAAGTTTTTGCCTTGACTCACAGTTGATTCTTGGTGTCATTTTTCTGCAAATATCAATAATAAGGCAATTGTAATATGCAGAAGTTTGTGATTTGCAATTTTGAAGATGCCCTAACTTCATGCATCCAAATGGTGAAGCCAATAATTATTTTTGGCCAGAAGAACGAGACACCGGCTGAGCACGTCGGGCCGATGTCCTATTTATTGTCTCGGCACCTTCTTCTTGAAACGGGTGAAAACCCTTCCCCCCCCAAACGTGAACTGAAAAAAAACGATGCCTTGCAGTGCAAGGAGTGGAAGAAGTGAAGTGACTAATGAAGCTTCATATTTTCCTTTTTAGACTAGAGTGATATCAACTATTGCTTCCATGAGAAGATGGAAGACCAGAATTCCACTTGTACGTGAAGCAAATTTTTGTGGAAAAAAATAGAAACATCACATCTCTGAAGCATTCACAGTTTCTTGGAAATAAACCAACCTTTGACCTGGTGCATGTGTCGGCTCTTTTTCCAGGGCCTAACATGACCTCATTCAAGGTCAAAGTTTATTGTTATGTCAATGCCTTTAGATTTTTTTTAGCAAAAAAATTATATTTTCTCCGTTTTTTAAAATCGTCAACTTTGCATGCAAGTGACTCCTGAATCGTGTCTCTTGCTCAAATATTTCTCAAGTTATGGGTCTTTATGGTGAGGTCATTGGGCTGACTCTGAAGTTTGACATTGCTGTTGTAACTTTTTGAACCATCAACCAATGGGACAAAAATATGATGCATGATGGTTATTAGCCATGCACATGATGTGTACCAAAAGTTAGTACGAAGTCTGAGGTGTTGCCATGCAAAATGACTGTTTCGTTTGGTGAGTTCACACAGAATGACCACATTGGAGTGATGGCTTGCATATGTGCGGTGATGGAACTTAATGGTGGTGCCATCTTTCTCAACTTCTCCAAACTTTCTTAAAACATAGAAAAATTTAAGATATGCTTGTGATATTCCCCCAGCCACTCTCTTTTTGGTTTATTGAACTTCTCTCTCGTTCTGAAACGATTTTGTATCGTGGGGGAACCGATGCTCTTGGTCGAAAAGTATTTCCTGGGCCATATATCTTGAGACTTCTGCCCTTGGCATGCATGTGCCAGGATGCTATTCCTAGAAGGGCATCATATCACAGCAGGAGCATGTGAAAGCTGTTACATGTGAGTCATGTGGTTGGCTCACGAGAGCACACGAGTTGATGGTGGGTTGTATCTGACGTCTCCCACAGAATTGTCCAACCTTCTTCTGTGGAGAGAACAGATGAAGCCAGGTTGATGGCCCTGTGATGCTACTTCATCCCTTCATTCCTTTTGTATGCTTACCACGTGGAGCAGGCACAGTTGTTTCGTTGTTATCGAGGAAGTCTATGAGTGCATTCGATACACTTGTCGTAAAGATTTAAGATCAAAGGAATTGACAAGTATTTGTCCTTTGACTCCTTGCATTGTGAAATGCCAGGGCAGCATCACTCATTAATGGTGATGGCTGCTTGATGGCTACTGCTTCTACTTTTGTTGAAGAAAGCATATCAACACGGTGGTGTCTTCTTGGAAAGAGACGAGGAATGGGGCATCCTTGATCGTGCTTGTCGGTGACCGACGGTGTCATCGGTTTGAAGTCACATCCTGTGTTTCTGTGTGTGGAATCCATGCAATATTGGTCTGGTGTCCAAACCTTTCGTGCACTAGACGGTCCTCTACTTGCTTCGCTTTGGCAACTCGTTCCTCCATGCTTGAGCAATCCTTCTCGTGGCTTGATGTTTTTTGTTTCCGATTGCAAATGCTTCTCTGCCGAGTTCCCTTGAAAGGTTTAGGGGGATATCCAAAGATGTTGTGAGATGTTTCACCTCTAGAGGACCATTTGCAGACTGGACCCACATCTTGTGAAAATCTCTGATTAGACAGACATCTCTGATTAGCTTGCTCACCTGCAAATAGAACAAATAAGTCACAATGAGTGTTCTCTGAAACTGGAAATTTCCAAAAAATTTCATGAGAATCCATGATGCATGAAAGAGTTAAGATTGAAGGAAATATTTTAAACACAATGCCCTGTATGAAATGCTTTGAGAATCCCTACTGTGCCCACTACCCATCCACCCATGTTATTTACCTTCTTGCCTGTGTATGAACTTTTCATGTCAGGCTTCACACTTGCCCCCTTCTGCAACTGCTCCGATGATATTTCGTCGTTCAACACAATTACTTCAGAAATGTTTACTGGTGCTTCATGTCACCCATACGATGATATGAAGACCTGCCAACAATTTGTTCCAAGTTTAGTCTCTTTCCAAAAGACTTGGGAGATTACCCTGCTGGTTATTGCTAAGGAAGTGAACGGTCGATGAAAAAATTTTTCAGAAGAGGCTAATTGATTAGTGACTGAAACAAAATAAGTACCCAGTTCCAAAATTTTCAATGAGGGAAAATATGGGAACAAATTAAAATTCCAAGAATAAAAAAAAATTACTGATAATACTTTAAAATGAATATTTGGAAATATAAAGAAATCTTGAAATTTGTTCGCAAAAATGATTGAACAAGTCTGCTAAGTTCACCTTCCAGCTTTACCATCCTTTAGGGATGGCTGTTTTTGACGGGTTGAATCGAAGCATAGATCGTAAAACCAGTTGGTCACTTGAACACCAAAAAGTGAGATAAAAAGAGGAAGCAATCGAATTTCAGATGAGGCAGAAAGATTGAAGATGACATGTCAAAAGTCAGAGACCATGAGCAGCCCCTAATGCAAAGAATTTGAAATTTCAAACCAAATTCCCAACTCATTTTGACCTCTGAAATGATCATCTGTGCAATTTTAAAATGCCTCTTGGTGAAACTGTATACCAGAGCTCATGTGCCTTGAATGAGGCTTTCCAAAGAAAAGTAATGAAATGTGCTAGAAATCGAGACAAAAAACATTACTCCCAATGGTTTTTCATGTTTTTTTTTGTTACCTTCATGGCCGAATACATGAAATGTTCTCTGATTACTTGATAGGGACAAGTTTCTGGATTGCAGGGATGCATTTGTAATTTTTTTAGAGATAGCCATATGGTTTCTCATGGAATGTTCATGCCAAGCATGCCGTTTCTAGTAGGACTGCTGCCTCCACCTTCGTTTGACTAGGCTGTAATGCCTTCTAGGGTGTTTGTGTGTGGAAAAACACAACAAATTTTGGAAATGTTGATGCGTGAAGCATCGTGATTTCTGCCCATATCCCCCCTGGAAAATCCCAGTCTAGCCATGAAGTTGGATGGGTCACGAGTTGGGTTTGTCTCTCCAGATGCTCATGTCAACAATCATCCCCAGAAGAATTTTTTACATCGGTTTCATCATCTTCCTCAGAGTTTCTAAATGTTGATGAAAAATTGATGTTGGTCTGACAGATTCAGAGAGTGGAATGAATATTGTGGAACTTTTGCCTCTTTGCACCCGACCTATCTCCCGTCTGTCGTTCCTGATTTATCGGGAAAAACACGAATAGGGTGGATATTTGCATGGACATTGCCTTAATCTCTCTCAAAGCTAAATATTTTAGTTTTGTTTTTGTTTGACTTTCCTAGATCCTACAAAGTTGTCTTTTTGACGGTGACAGGCGAAATTTCATCTCATTTGTTGACTTAGGATTGCTTTTATTAAATTTTGTCAATATGTTGCCAATACTTAGGGGTCTGCTGGAGCAATGTTAACATTGAGATGAATGCTGTGATGAGTTTTCTAACCTTTTAAGAGCTGATTTCCTAGCAGATCTTCCAGTGGCTGAGAGGTTAGAGTCCTGTTGACCCTCCTTTCAAAGAGGGTGTCGGTTGAAATGGTGCATTGCAACTGGAAGTGCCTTGGTCTCAGAACATTTATAGACTGCGTCTCGTGAGATTCTCTAACGTGGAAACGACCTAAGCGAAACGTATCACTTCTTATCTCCGAAAGAAATGAAACGGCGGGTCAGAAAATTTCCTGAGAGGATGTAGGGACCAGTTTTTCATTACTGCTATTTGTGGCAGAACATTCATATTGTATTTCCTCCATTTATGCTGCCATTCTCCCTGATAATTTCAAAATCTTTATGATGAATGTTGTTCTACAAATGTTTGCTATATCTGACTCATACCTCATGTTTCGCAAGTCAATGTGAGAACTAAAGAATTGATCCACCTCTTCTCTCACTCCACATATAACTTCCAGAGATGGAAATGATCTCACTAGCAACTGCTTGCCTGTCTTGGGACGAGTTGACGTGGCTGGGACGACGATCGTGCGCGTCGTGCTTCCTGTAGTAGGTGACAGGTGGTGGTCTTTCTGCATTCTTGATGACTTCAAGCGATGCTGGACGATGATATTCAGTTTTGCAGGATTCTGAAATAGGGAATTAAAATCTGACCCTTGTCTCTGTCATCTCTTCTCAAAAGTCAGAAGGCCTGTGTACAGATATTAGGGCTTTGCCAGAAATTGCTATGTTACTTGATATTCGTTTGACAATATTTATTTCTATAGGCTGTTTCATCACCTGGTCCTAGATATCTGAGTGCCAGGTGGATCCATCCTTCCACATTCAACTAGCCATTACTTTTGACCTGTTTTTCCAAGGTATATTCTGCTCATTTCCGAGTCCTGAATCATGAAGTGGTTCTTTTGCACTTTTGTAAGCAATTACAGTCAGCTCTTGTTAATCTGAAGCCTGAGTGAGCCATTTCCCCCCTCCGTTGATCTGGACTTTCCAGCAAGATACATATGGTACAACAGAAAATGATGGATTTCCCTATCTTGGAAAATGTTCAATCTCCCCATCTCCTGGAGTCGAGTCATGAGGAGCGCTCTCTTCGTTGTCGTGTCATTCATCCTCTGTCAGTCTTTTAACCTGTTCTTGCCGATAGAGGCACAAGAAGCTTCTTACCTCGTGTTAGGGGTAAGTGTTCCTGGTATGATCCCATACGGGAGGAGGAATCTGAAATTTTGAAGCTGTCGGACTTGTGCCTTATCTACGCCAGAGAGTTTTCCTTTCCATATTTATTTGCAAAGGAAGCTTTCATGGTGAGGATACCTTAGAAAGTTTTATTTGCAAGGTTTTCAGTGCTCTTGAGAGATTCCTTTGGAAGGTCAAAAAATCGATTGTCATCGGTTATTTTGCACGAGTTTTTACATTAGAACACATACTTTTAACAGTTATTGAGGTGTGGGAATTGCAAACTACCAAGAAAAAAGCAATATAAATACGAGTGAATCGTATTTTGTAAAATCTTAATGTATCTAAACATCATTAACTTTTATATCATGAATCATACATACAAGCATTCTTGCTAGATGTTCCCATTCCTAGCTGAAGTTCACCGTTTACTTCCAAAATGAGTTTTAGTTCCTAACAACTTTCTAAGTTGTTAGAATGCGGAAGGCATTTAATGGAAGTCTCGATCGAAAATCATTTAACCTTACCTTACTTAACCAAACTTTTTGAAACCCTTCCACATTTGCATAAAAATAATATATTTCTTGCTCACAAGTGAAACGGATTGCATAAATATTAACTTCATCAAAATCGGTTTAAGGCCAAAAATGGGTTAACCTCACCTTAACCTGACACAACTTTTTCAAACTGCTCAGATTTGAAAAAGAATTGCATTTTTAGGTTTGTCTTTTAGGGCGCTCTCTTGAAATATGCACATTTCTTTGAGAATGGTTTTGGGACCGAAATTGGGCATACTCCTTTAATGTAATCTTTGTGATAAAAAAAATTACAATTTAAAATGCAATGCAAACATCGATTCTGAGCGTAATCTTTCCCCTCTTTTAACAAGATTAGTGAACATCTGTTGGAATGGGCAATACCTTCAGAAGACATGGGCTTTTAAAGATCCTATTCCTTGCTAACTGAAACTTTTCCCAAGACTTTTGAGCATGCTTTCCTCAAACATGCATAAAACATTTTCTGGATGTTGAGCCTGATGATCGTGTCTAGCATTGATGACAAAATTTATGAAATTCTTGGTGACAGAATAATGATCAGTATATGGTTACTGCAGTCCAGGTGAAAAGCTCCACCCATTACCTAGTGAGAAAGGACTGATTGTGAAGTTAAAAAATGTATTGGAATTTGATTGGGTAGGAGAAATGCCACCTTGGGAACATAGTGGGTTCACAAGGCTGACTCCCCTTTCGAAAATTTGTTTCTCTTGCAGAGACCATGGAAGGCATATCTTACAACAGGAAGATGTACTGTATTTAACTAACCCAATCATTTCATCGAAATGATGCAAACCCTTTGTCCTGCCCACTGCCATAACACATTGAACAATTTAAAAAAAAACTTGTGGCCTTTAGCGTCTGCTCTCGTGAACGATGGAACGAACTACAGACCTTGTGTTTCAGTCCATGAATTATCCTTTACTCTTGGAACATATGATGCCTGTTCCAACTGCTCTCGTTTGTCGTCTTTGGCCCTCTCTGAGTGTGCACGACATGCTGATGCGAAACAAATCGGCATCTGTCACCTCCTTGCTTCTCGTTTGCAAGCCGTGTCAAGGAACCTGCGAGCACGGCCGGTATCGATGTCGAAGAGCCATACGGAGACGATCGTAATGATTGGCGTACACCTATCAAAAAGGAAGAGACAACCGGTTCTCTGTACCAATGCTGATGCAAGTGGTGATATTTGGCCCAACATGAAACTAGGTTCTAAGGATTGCCTTCTGGCCACCATGTGACTCTGTATGTATGCACATTGAGTTTTAACTGAGCATTACTGGGTTCAAGTCTGCTAAAAGCAGAGCCTTGATATGGGCTGAGACAGACAAAAGGAAAGCGTTTGCTCGGCTTCAAGATGCTATTTTGTGAGTGAACTCTTTTTTTTATTCATCTTCCTTCTGAGCATCTACAATGTGTAAAAACATGCCTGACCCCAGACCTATACAAAACATACGTTGTATAAGGCAGGGATGGCCAAAAAAAAGTGACTCACTTTTAATTCTACTGTTAAATACATATTTTCCTAACAGATATTGACTTGAAAATATAAACGAGTGCCTCCTCGTATGTTCTTCGAGAGAACGGAACGTTGTCAAATGTGTGTTTCTTGCCATCTGCAGATGGTGAAAAACACATGAATTCATGGATGTGCATGAATTCCAGGCATTCCCATGCAAACATGAAGAATTGTTTTGCACAATGGCTTTGCACACCATTTCACTAGGGATCTGGGCCATTTTGACAAAGTTTGCTATAACTCAATGGTGGGTGGCCAAAGGTGCATGAAATTCCAACAGCTCTTAACGGGCATATTAGGCATCGTTCATTTACATTTATGAGTCATTCGAATACATGGATTCCATAGAGTTAAGAGAGATTTACCTTTTTCAGCGGCAAACCCTATGTATGGGCCGAAGAGTTACTTGCTTATAACCCCCTGGGCTGTAAAGGTTTTCCTTCCCTCAAAGAGAAGTCAATGTCTTCCTTCTCCAAGGGTCCACCATGTTTATCAATGATGATGTGCTGACGTGGTTAAGTGAAGGTGGAGGGAGAGAGAGACACCTTTGGCACTGACCACAAATACATGCAGGACCCTTGCAAGGCACTGCAAGAGGTGCATGTTATGCACAGAGAACCAAGTGCATCCTGCCACATGCAGCCTGTCACTGGTACGTGAGATGATGCACGGGCAGGCTTTTTGTGATCGGTCCAAAAGGGGCTGCACTTGATGCCATGTTCACCTGTACACTAGTCTCCAAAGGTTCACTCTAGTCTGTCGAGCATCAGCTTGGGGGATGTCCACTCTGAATTTCGTTCGCCCTCATTTCCCGAAGCTGATCTTCCTGCAGGTATTGAGAGAGGTTATTTCTAATTCTCAGGAATCGCATCCTCATGCTTGGTGCCGAACGGCCCCTGAGTATCCTCAGGTTGGCGAGGCGCTCGAAGATCCGTTGGCCATCGCTGCTAAATCGTCCTGGGTTCTCGATGATGTGCGTGTACGTGGCAAGCACGAGTCGCCGATCTTCGTCGGGTGAGTACCCTTCTCCCAGTGCAGAGATGGCTCTTGGTCGTCCTCTTCGATAATTCCCTCTGGCTCTTCCCCCAGGTGCAGGTGGTTCGCTTCCTCTGACTCTTCTCCGAAGCGCAGGTGGATCGCTTCCTCTGCCTCTTCCCCGAGGAGTGGGAAGAGGTGCTCTGGCGTTTTGCACTGCTCGAGCCAGGGACTGGGATCTGGTTCTCCTTGCTGCAGCTTCTGCAAGAGCCTCTTCGAGCTCAGAGTCTTCGCCGCTCATGGAACTCGTTCGGCCGTGCTGCCGGTTCCTCTCTCTGCATTGTTGGTCTCGCAGAGCCCTTTCTCTTCTCTCTGCCTGGAGTAGATTTGTTTCTTCGGTGATATCTTCTTCTGGCACTTCCACGGTTCCATCGCCTCCTTCCTCTGGCTCCTGCCTGGGATTCCTCTCCAGCTCCCTCTGAATGATCCTTTGTGGTAAATTGGGATCCCAGCCGATGCTGAGGAAGGTGTCCGTGGGTTCAATGTCCCCAGATGGAATCAGGACTCCCATCTCCATCAGTTGTTGGATGTTGAGGCCTCTCTCTTGGATCAACCTATGGAGAAGACTGTACCCCATGTACAGGCGACTTCTACTTCGGGATCTAAGCTTCAAGCCTCCTGCATGGAAGGTTAGGGACAGAGCCAATGCTGGTGCCCGCTGCATTGGGGGAAGCTCTTGCACCATGTCCACGAGGAGCACTTGCCACCGTTCGGCATTCCAAAATGGGATGAGCGCCATCTCCTTTGGAACGATGTCGGACCTCTCGCTCGTGATTCTGGCTGCAAGTTCGATGGCTTCGAGCCAGAGTGACCCTCCAGGTGCACTCTTTGCCACCACTGGCACCCATGTTTTTCGGGTGGGGAGTCGAGCTTCCTCCGCTTGCCTGATGTCCCCTGGCTTGGGAACGAAGTTCCAGTGGCTGCTGATGAAAATCAAGGCATCCATCAGCTCGTGGAAGGCGATGCGGCGACTCTGCACCGCTTGCAATAAGTTGGCTACCACCCCTCTCCTTGCATGGCTGTGCAGAAGGTGACTCCAGAATTGCATCAGGGTGCATGGCTGTTGCTCCACCTGCTGCCCGGGGATGTTTATTGTTTTTCTTGTAAACAGGTGGTCCCAAGTTTGCCCTGCTCTGTGAGGAGGACCATACAGTCTAGTAACCTCAAGTGCATAATTTCTTGCAAACACTCTTGCAACAGCCATGGGATCACTGATTTTTTCTGAGCTGTGCCTGGGACAGAGTTCACAAACCAGGCGAACCATCGGACTCAACACCTTGAGCACCTTATTGGGTACGGCACTGTGATAGTACATGAACCGGGACACGTCTTCCAGGAAGATCGGCAGGATCTCTTCGCCGACGGGCTTGTCTGGGGCAAGTCGAAATCCAGGGAAGTCCACACTCGTCTGGAGCCTGTACCTGATGGTTCCATGGCCAGGAGGGTGTGCCACCCATTTGTATCCAAGGGATGATATATTTAGCCGGGATCCAGACAGGAAATGGGCTAGTGCACATTCCAATGCAAATGCCAGTTGCAGTGTCCCCTGTGATGTTACGTGGTCTTTGTCCAAGAGAATCTCCCTGAGTATATTCAATTGAAGTCCATATGTGCCATCCAACCAGGCGTTGAATATCGGCTGTGGCAACACGTGAAGGCATTCGTCTTCGAGAAGACTTTGTAAGAAATCCTGGGACACCTGATGTGATATCATTGCTGTCAGATATCTCTTGGTTGGACATCTCATGTTATCCCCCTCGCGGCATTGTGTGTGCGCAGCCCAATTCCTGATGGTGCCACAAATGACGACTTCCACTCGGAGAGCGTGTTGGTAGGATTTTGCACTCTCGAGGAATTCTGTCATCACCGACATGCTCCTTTCGGCAAATTTGCGAGCCTCCTCCATCTCTCGTGTCGGTTTGACACGACTGCCCTTCAGGACCACGGCTGGAAAAACCTTCAGAGAGTTCAGGGGCTTCTGCTCAGTGCCCATGATGTGAATGCTTGTGTAGTAAGTCTGTATATGCTTTACTTCTGGTGGGTTCTGCTCTACGGTTTCCAACCAGAGAGGAGGACAGTCAGGAGGAATCTCCACGAGTGTCGGCGACAGTTCGGTCCTTCCGACGCAGCACTGAGAGAGGGGTCTGATCAGTCCAAAATGGTTGTATCGCGTCAGAAGTTGTGCGTTGGGAAGTCTCGAAGACTTTGCAGAATTCAACAGTATGACTCCACGGTCGTGCCTCAGCTCCATGGCCGTGTGTACGTGGACTGTACGTAGTTGATGGAAGTTGGATATGAATCCGGCTACGTGTTTCCTCATGTCGTGTGGTCGTGCTTTTGTCCCCACTGTGTTCATCACGAGGGAGAAGCGGTATTCCTTTGCCTCGTCGCTTTGAAGGATTTCTTCATGAATGGAATGACCGAGGCGAGCCAAATCCTCGTTGTAGATAGTCACAGCCTTCCATTTCTTTGGCCCTCCCTCACTGAGGCAAGTCGTTAGGGGATTCATTCGGAACGTCCTTGTTGTCGGTTCCAGGGATAGCAGGGCACTTCGTACAGCACAGAGGAAATGATGAATCCCTTGCCGGGGACTTCCGGGATGTTCGTCTGCCGGACAGCACCACAGCATGACCCTCCCCGTGCCCTCTCCGAATAAGATGGTCTCCCAGACGTTGCCACGATTGGGTGGATGTGGCAATTCGGGGAAGAAATACACATCGTTCACAGCTTTTGATTTCACCGGTGCTTGGATGTGCAGTGCGGGACAAAACTTCACTGTTGGTGCTAGGATGAAGCCCAGGTCATCGAAGCTCAAGGTGAGTCCATCGATATCGGTTTCAAATTGAATTTCATTCCAACTTCTCAGCAGTTTCGCTTCCTTTAGCAGGGTGTCATCGCCTCCCCGTATGACATCCCCGAGATTTGGCAGCGCTGACATTTTCCTTGTTCCTTTTGAACCTGTGCATAGGATGAAAGTATAAATGTGTAGCCTCTTGACGGGAACCATTTTAAAACCATTGCTTGTGATTGATGATATGAAAGGTATTGTTCTACCTAGAGGAGTGAATTTTTTATTAAAAAACAAAGCTAAAGTGGGAATTTCCTTTAAAAATGTACCTGTCTAGGTAGTAGGAACATGCACTCCCAAGTATTGCCACGAGAGAGACCAATGGATCTAATCCTGCAGTGGTTCCTTGTGTCATCAAACAACATACATGGCTGAATTTTGGGGGCAAAAACCTGATGAATACATCTTGAAATTTCAGTTTGTGAAGTGAGATAATTGTTCACGGTCCAAGTATCGTCTTCGTCGGGTTTGCATAATTTTACTGTGTCCGTTGTCTGAGATGAAGTCTCTTGTGGTCAAAGACCAGAAAGAAAAATGACAATTTTTTTCAATTAGGAGACAAAATAATGGTTTCCTTAACTGAAAGGTGGCCCATTATTGGACTGGGCCTGCCCAACTTGTTTTTTCCCCATTCCACTCATGTATTTTGTTTTATTTCTCCCTGCCTAGTGCCTCTTTGAACTCCCAGTGTGGACCGGATGTTGAATGGACCTCAGTTCGGATTCGGATTCGTTGTTTCTCGCCGGATCGGTTTGGGTTGGTGAGGGTGAAATGCAAGTCGGATTCGGATCAGATTGGATTGGGAAAAGGCAGCTCGAACTCGCTTCTGTTGTAGACATTGAAAGGAAAGCAAGCAAACCATTGCCATTGAATTTCAAGAGACTTATCAAAAGTGGTGCTGTTGATGTTTAAAAGAAAAACTTTCTGTAGGAAAATGTTCAGAATTGTATTGGATATAGGGACTCATATCTCTGTTTCCTGCCACAAGAGTAGATATTTCTCGCATGTAACATGTGCTGAAAATGAACATCAGTTTCAAATGTTTTTGACGAAAAAATATGTCATTCACCAAGTGGACGTTATTTGACAAATTGCAAGAGGAACTTTTGTCCCTCATTACGCTCATCACATTTGAATTTGATTCACTTCATTTAGGCAAAAATGAAATCTCATTTCATCTAATGAATCTTGTTTGTGAGGTGTGGTTCCTTCTCCTTAGAAGAGATTGGTCTTGTTTGTTTGTTGTTGTTACAGCCACTGGGGGGAGTGACCTCTGAGCAGCAGCTAGGCTCTGTGCTTCACAATCTCCCAGCAAAATCACGACATAGTCCTGTGGCTTGTTCGAGCTCACCATGAAGGACTCCTAACTGATCTTGAGACTGGAAGCAGTCAGCAAGACAGGGCAAATGCTGACTGTAGCAGACAGAGCCCTCTGTTTTGTCACTAATGGAGTGTCCATCGAAGCAGGAAAACTGCATGGGTCAAATTTTTGTCTGAGCAAAACTTGAGGATTTTGAGGTTTACCTTTTAGTGAACATTTGGTTGTGTTTTCTCTTGTTTTTGCCTTCTGTTTGTTTCCGAAATGTCACTCGTTGACACCACGGTCCAGTCGGCAGAAAGTTGTACCTTGGGAATGATTTGCCGGATTTCCTCAGAGCCTGAAACTGAAGGCTTAATTATTGCTCACCACTTTTGGGCGGCAGAGGGCCTCATTGTGCCAAGTCTGATACACACCGATTTTTTGGTGGACAATCCCGTGAAACTATTCATGAATTGACATTAATACCTCACAGCTGGTACGTGAGGTTGGGACAGATTCTTTCGTGCCCTTGAGAAGTGTACTTGTGACCCAACCAGTTTTGATCCCAAGTCACTCTGACATGTGCATTCCAATTTGTGTGGATGGTGTCTCTTATGGCTCCGATTTTGTGATTGAACCAGGTACAAATTCGCCTGGCCGTGTTATTTTTGGTGCATGGCATTGATACAACTTTTGATGGAAAGACATTCGCTAGGTTTATCGTACTAGAACTTGTTCAGTTGCACCCTAATCAGAAATTGAGGGTTGTTGAGGAAGTGTGCATAGCTCAGCCAGCCTCTCATCATCAAATCCAAAGGGATACTCAAAATAAGGGAAAATATTCAACTGGAAAGTGGGAAGGTGAGAGAGAACTCAGATGGTTTGGCTCTGCTGGTCCAAGGGGAATGGCTTCTCATAGGGAAGTCAGCTACTTGATCAAGGTGAAGGGTTCCTCTACAGGCTTAAAAGAGGTAAAGAAAATACTACATTGATTGAATGTATTATTTTTCTCTCTTGTCTCTCCTGATCCATCCACTTCGCACTTCACTAATTGCAGGATAAACAATAAACTGTGTAAAAACTATAAATCCGGCACAAAACCTGCAGAAATGCTGCCTACCAGCGAGTGGTTCTACACTGTCGTAAAAAGTTTTGGAACATTTCCCAATATTGTAACTTCTCGTAATTGGTTCAGATTATCTCCGTGTGTTTTTGAGGGCTGACTAAGAAATCAAATGCACGCAATGTTGTATCAAAATCCCATTGATTCGCTTCAGGGGTGCAACAGCTTATTCTAAGTAAAGTCGCGCGGACCATTTCCTAAGGCCGCACTGGGCGCGAGCACAGCCAAACAGAGGGGGATTTCACCGTTACTCCGTCGCAGGAGAATGCGAACCGTGCAGCGGTTTGGGTTTCGATCAATTTCATATGCCTGTTCACAGGATGACACAGCGGGCACTTCGAGTCCATCCGAGTGTCAAACAGGAAATATTACAGTACTGTAATTATTAATTACAGTAATTACAAATTAAAATAATGCAGTTATCTTGGTCGTGCGCATCTATCCTGTTTGAGGCACAATACTGAATTTGGACTATTTCGCCCGTACAGTTCTGGCGGCACTCTCTTACTCTGGTACGCTCTGAATAATCTCCTGTATTTCAAGAACCAGCGAATGGATATTGTTATAACTTAGCACGCATGCGCTCATTTGATGCATTAGTCATCCCACAAAGGCGCACAGCGATAGCCTGAACCAATTACGAGTAGCTAAAAATTGAGAAAGGTTCCACAAATTTTTGGGGCAGTGTACAATCCGGGAAGTACTCCAACGCGTGACGTCACAGACAGCTGCGAAACGAGCAGCGTCAGAGGCGCCTCGCGCACGAAATTCAATTCAAACGAGATAAGCTTAGGGAATGGCAGCATGATGTTAAAACTTGTGAGACATACCGGTGGCCCTCGTAGCGTAGTAAACCTAATTGCATTCCCCACGCCATGAGGCACACCGGTGTGCCACACTAAAAAGTCTGCAAAAGACCGCTCAAAATTGCTAAAAGCATGGGATGATCAAAGTATGTTGCTAATGAGTCTTCTAGGGATATAAAAATGACTTTGGCGTAGAAAAGTCACCAGGTCAATATGGCCGTGGCGGTCAAACTGTTAACGACTACCCCCACAGCTAAGAGATGTCTACGCCCAGGGCTGTCGAGACGGAAAAGGAAGCAGGATAGGGCCTACCTGCTTCCTTTTCCTTCCTCACGAGTGTGCTGCAGAGCCCCGAAACAATACGGCTAATAGAGTGCGATGCATAGAGAGTGTATAAATAGAGGGGGCGAGATGCTGCACCCATCCAGACGCGGCCGCCATCTTCCTGTAGTCGCACGAGCAAGGAGTTCATAGCAGACACTTGGAGGGGGAGGGCAAAAGAGGCAACTTGTCCCGGGCTATATGCCTTGGGACCTCCACGCCGGGACCCAACCAATCACGATATTCCTTCCCACGTGCGAGACAGTCCCAAGATGACGGAAGCACTTGTAAACATGCGTCTAGCGACAGACCGTCGCCGACCAATCAGAATGTGATCCCTTTGCGCATGCGCCAAGTATGAGTTCCACATTCATCATCCCCCTTGAACACTCGACGTGACCATTGCAGATTGCGCAGCCGTGTGTAGAACCTGGGGTCTGTTGTACTGCCTCGGTAAAGTCAAAGTTTCCGTAAAGTCAAACTTAGGAAGCATGATAAACAGGCTCCCAAAGTCAGATTTTGCGCGAAGTCTGACTTAGCAGTGAAACTGGCCCCTGGACTCGACACCTTTCACAGCTCGGCATTAGAGACCTGAGTGGTGAACTTAGGCCTAGTTTATCATTGACCGCATATTCAACTGAAGGAAATTTTTAGAAATATATATACAGGGTGGCCCAGAAATAATAGGGCAGTTATTGGTGCAATCAGCAATCACTACAATTTTTATTTGCAAAACTTTCTCGTTTTATCGACCGAAACAAAAATAAAAATCAGTTAATAATCAATATAATAATAATAAATAATTAAATAATAATAAAATTGTAGTGACTGCTGATTGTACCACTAACTGCCCTATTACTTCTGGGCCACCCTGGATAGT